CAATCGCATTGGATCATCAGGCCAATTTTTCAGGTCATCTTGGTGATCCTGATAACCATGCTGAAAATAAGGATTTTGCTGCCAAGTTTCTTTCGTGTTGCTAACGATCAATTACAAACAAATAATGATTAGCGCACCGATGCCGGTGCGAAGATGCGTTTTTTGCACAATTCCCCGCAGGTTTTTGTCGCCAACGGCACTGGTTTTTTCGGCAAATGATTCTAGCTAAACAAATTAAGATTGGCCGCCAGAACTGTTAGGAAACACTTTCAGCTTTCTAGCTTTCCTGGCTCTTGAGTTAGCAACTCACCGGAAATAAAAATTTGGCGGGCTCGTGTGTGAGTATCATGCGTACCGGAGTGTGGGTTTAAGCTCAATGAGACTAAGGTGAACGGGGAATATCCTCTTTAAATCACAGTCCTTTGGCTTTTCAAATTCCGAGTTATCAACTTAGCCGAAATTCTGGCAGGCCCGTGCGTGGGTATCATGCACACCCAACGGCTCGGTTTAAGCACATTAATATCCACTCGGGCGGGGAACATTCCCTTGAGATTTCAACCTTTAAGCTTTTCAGATACCTGAGTTATCAACCTAACCGAAAACTTTCACGGACCCGTACATGGGTACCACGCTTACCTGGGGGAAAGGTTTGAGCTCATTAATATCCACTTGGACGGGGAGCATCCCCTTAAGGTTCCAGCTTTCTAGCTTCTCAGATCCCCGAGTTATGAACTTACCCGAAAAAAGTTTTGGCGGGCTTGCACGCGGGTACCACGCTTACCAGGGGGATGGCTTTGAATGCATTAACAGCTACTTGGACGGGGAACATTCCCCTAAGATTCCAGCTTTCTAGCTTTTCAAATCCCCGAGTTATGAATTTGCCCGTAAAAACCTTGGCGGGCTCTTACGTGGGTGCCACGCGAGCAATAGCGCCCTTTTGGGGATTGGGGCAACGTGCATGCAGATTAAGTTCCCAAAGTTTCAGCCCTGTAGCTTTCGTAGGTCTTGAGATGAAAGATCGGGGCAGACGCACACAAAGACCAAGGGACACACGGACACACAGACAACCCCTCGTCAATATGAGTTTTCTGCGCTGCATAGCTGCAAAAAACGCATAAAAACTAAACAAATGAGTACCATCTGTTGAATCCAGACGAGCGGCCTGCTTGATTCTAGCATTCTCAATTTCAAGCTCCTCCTTTGATTTACGCAGATCGTTCACCAGTTCCATCAAGCTAGCGTTGGTATATATTAACTTGTTGTTCTGTTCCTCCAGCGCTGCCAAACGAGATTTTAGAAAATTAATCTCATCCAAAGTTTCTGGATCTGAAAATAAAAGCTAAGAATTCACAAAAATTTGTTTTCATTGCACGGTACCGAAGATAGGAGAAGTGCAATTATACGCACACGTACACATATAGATAAATATATATGTTCATAACCAATTTACGGCATTGCTTGCTTGTTCAGCATAAATTATTACACTATTTTGCATGTTATAAACAAAAAATTTGTTTCTTGTCATTTATTTCCTCACCTCATCTCTAATAAGTTTTCTTCAGTTGGATTACATATGTTGCAAAAGGAAGGAGCGAGTAACAAGGAAGCGAAGTCCAGTTGCCCTCAATCCCCTTCGCCCTGTCCAGTTGCCCTTTGGTTTCCTGTAATACACAAATGTCCCGTCTCCTTGCTCGAGTTCCCCCCTCCGTGATATTTGATGTGATGATTGAAAATGAAATTGTTATTGTAATTGTTTGTTTCGTCGAAAATTGGAAGTGCGCCGCGGAAACTTGGAGCTGCTGCCGCTTGAAATATCGCGTGTGGCCGGTGGCAACTTGGAGCTGCTGCCGGGCGGATCCCGGGCTAGTTGGTTTTTTTCCTAATTGTTTTTCTTCTGTGACTGAACTGATAAAGAAGTGAGTCCAAGTTGCTTGGTGTTGCACGTCCCCACAAGCAGGGACCCCAGCTCCAGTTCCTCCTCCACCCGAACGTTACGCATGAATACACAAATTGACAGTAAGCCCATCAATAACCAGTGAGTTCAGAACGAAAATACTGACTGCACTACAGCAATTACTTCAGCAATAAAACTGTGTTTTGAAGCATACTAAGAGTATGGGTGAGAGAGTACTTCTCACTTCCATGTGCACACTGATTCTGAGGAAATAAAATTCTTTGAAAAAAAAAGCAACGAATATAAAAGCTTACGATTCACAGGCCAGATGTATGTCATACCTGGCTCTTCGATCATGCAATCCGTTACTTTTCCAGTTGGCTCCATTAATGCAGCATCTTCTTCGGCCATCCATTTTGCGATTCCGGCGTTTTTTTTGTTTCCTGAAAGAAATATCACATCGGTGGCTCTCCTGAAAAAAGCACCTGACAAGTGATAGCCAGGTCTAGGTGTGCACTACGCACCATCAATTCGGTCGAAGATTCCCCTAGTTAGACCACACAATGGCATTAAATTACCCCGATTAGAAAAAAATTAAAATAGCGAAATAATCAAATGTTATATCTCAACATAAATTTAGACATTTTATGGTTAAAGAAAGAAATTTAGACATTTTATGGTTATGGAAGAGGTCGTAAAAAAAGCAAAAACAATAACGAAAGTATTATATCGCTCAAATATCAGAACGCTTGGAAAACCTACCGGAAGATTTTCTTCGGGGCATTCGTGCATTATAGACTTGTTTTCGATCGCGTAATATTGCCTGCACGTCCGAGTGGCCGCTCGAATCCATCGATAGTTCATTCCAGACGGCGGCCGGACTGCGCGAGTTCAGCTGCTCTCTTACTTTCATCAGCGTTGACGGATATGTCCTCATGTACGGTATATTCTGTCGGCGCTTGCTGTTTCCGTGCGGACGAGGCTGTAAGCGACAGTTTTCCAGACATTTGTATGAGAGCACTGCATTCCCAATGGGATGACCATCTCGTGTCAGATAAGATAGGCATTTCATGAGTCCCAGTGGCGGCTCACAGTGCGGGTGACTGCCGTACTTCTTTTTTACAACATAATATGAGTTTTTTGTGTCCGGCATGCCTGCCTCGTTCACTCGAATGCTTTTGCATGTCGGTCTTCTTCTCATACCAGCCCACGAACCTGCAAAACACTTAAAATCAATCACTTCGATGTTACCAAGAATAGGCATAAACAAAAATCTCAAATCTTCCACATTTCTTTATATAATTTTACACTTCTTTATTAATCTCACATTCCTTTATTCCGAGTTTGGCACAGTCGCAAGTACAGCTATTTTCATGTCTAAGGTTGTAAGTTCAGTCTCGCCAGTGCACAAACTCCACTGCCGTGGATTCGTTTCGGCAAAAAACTGATAATGGCATATGTGGGTGTCAGAACCACCATCAACTTGCTTCTAGGCAGTCATCGAAATAAGAAATTCTACACTGCTTTTAAAGTGTGTTTTTTAGTAATGTATATCAAAAATGCTGAGAAGCTTATACAAACCACATTCAAATTCATTTTCCAATCCCTAAATTTTTCCTCACTTTCTTAATTTCCGAGATCCTATATCTTTTAACCCCTAGATCCACTCACATTTTGTCAATCACTTTCACCACTTCTAAATCAGGCGCACTTTCTTGACGATTAAATTCGCTAGAACACCTCATGGTGTGGTAGGCCAAAATTTTACAAGCGGATCGTCTTTTTCGTTGGCTGGTTAGCCGGGTCGGGCAGAAAATTAGAAAGGTGATTCACCGCAATATGGCCTCTACTCAACGATAAGTCCCCTGACTTTAAAAACTTGTTAATCTCGAATTCGTGCAGAGGTACAAACGTTTTGCACCTGCTTATATTCCATTTTTTTATGTTGCCACATTAAAAAAACATGCAGAATCATTGAAGCTTTGGTATCGACTGAACGACAGTGACAGTGTGCTACTGCTCGGGCCGGCTCCATATGACTAAATCTTTCACAAAAAATGAAATACAAAGAGTTTTGACCGTATGTCGCTGAAGAAAAACGGCAGGGAGCGAACCACCGTTAGGGAATCGAAGCACGCACACCGCCAAGGTATGCCTTCAATTTCAGGACAGCGTACCAAACTTCCAAAGTTTGCTACAATCAATTTATAGGAACTTTTTCAAATGCTAACCGAATCAGCAGAACGTACTCTACATAAAAATTAGTACAGAAATTACCTAAATTGTCGACCCAAAGATCGCGCTCGGCGATTGCACTAGTGTCC